GTGGCAGGTAACCCCTTTATTCCAGCCTATCCTTTTTTTCCATGATCACCGTGTTCGTTGTTGTCTTGAGTGTTCCCTTGTGTTTCGTAGTTGTCTTTTATTTGGCAATCCTCGGCATGCTTTCCTTGTTAGTAACTCGTTGGATGCTTAGTATAGATTCTCTTCTTGCTAAGTGATTTCTTTAGTTGGTCTTTAAGCTTTGTTGTGGAGTTAGCAATCCATCCTTGTCATGTTTTGTGATTTGGCCCAATTCCACAATCCTTCTACTTGGTTGTTCTTACCACAATTCCTTGTGAGCTTCCTAAATTATCCAAGTATTCTTTACATTTGAAAATAGCAAAACTCTTGCCAAAATTCTTCCTTGTGCATTCTAAAAACCAAGCCTAAAGCTTAATTATAGCCTTTGAGTTTTGAACCCTAGCCTATTTTCTTCTCTACCCAACTTCTAAACCACTTGAGCTAATTGTCTTTCTTGGAACCTACCCAATTTTAATTCCATTTAATCCATAATTTCCCACTTTACCCAAAATACCCAAATTTAATCATCTTTTTCCCCAATTTCTCCCAAATCCGTAAAATCCCAAATTCTCTCTTCTTCTTCTTCATTTATCCTTCCTACCCGTGAGAACCCTTAAACCCCATCCCCAACCCGTAGGCACCACTCCAACCCGTCGCCGACCTGCTGTTGCCGTGACGCCGAGAGCAGCGCGAGAGAGAGAGAGAGAGAGAGCTCGGGAGAGTGAGAGGTAGTGTGGGTGTGAAGAGGAAGTTGTGGCTTTGCTTGTTGAGCTTTTGGATCATCTCCTACCATGCCTAGAAGGTCAAGTTTGGCTAGGAAAGCGGAATGGGTGGATGCCCACTACCTTGTGCTTGAAGGTAAAGCTTTTGATCTGGAATCTTTTTTCAAGTTCCTTGTTTGGATTTGCTTAGGTTTCAAGGTTTGTTGGATGGGTTTCTCGCCATAAGGGCCGAGACATACCTGAGTTTGGTGAAAGAGTTTCATTGTCACATGGTTGTGACGAAGGAAGGTGAAAGGCTTGAGAGCACCTCTAAGCTGAGAGGTGTAAAGGTTTGTGCTTTCTGAGAAGAGGTTGGCTCAGTTGTTGAGTTTGTCTGCTACCGGAGTAGCTCGGTACAGTGGTCATTCTTGGATTAGTACGGATACCATGGGGTACCGTGACTGTTTGAGCTACTTGCTAGGCCGTACGAGTGGTTTTCACTCAAGCCTCTAGGCCGGAAAAGAAGTGGTTGTCTGCGGAGCAAAAGATCTTGGTGATGTTGGTGTCGGATTGTTTGTTGCCTAATAACAACAAGAGCAGTTTGTTGGGTAAGTTGGAGTGCACCTTTGCTTCTGTCTAAAGAACATGGTTAAGTTCAACCTGCCTGCTTTGATGATGCAACACATGGTGTTTTGCCGGGATCACAATCGGAAGAGCTTACCTTATGGGATGGTGCTTGAGTTGGATCTTGGTGAGGAAAGGTGTTAGTGTGGATGGTTGTCTCCCGAAGGCCGTGGGAAAGATGGTGTTGGATGCCGCCAATCTCCGGAGTTGTAATCTGTTCCAGTTGGATAATGGTGAGTACATCACGCTTGAAGAGGTTACGAGGAAAGCACCTGATGAACGGGCGGAGTTAGCTGCTGAGTTTGGAATCCCTGCCGGGAAGTTGAGCCTCGCAGTCCAGAGTTTGGGCGGTGACGAAGAAGTTGAGGAGGAAGCAAACCTAGAGGAAGAAGTAGGAGCACCGGAAGCCGTCGAAGCTGAAGAAAGTGATTCGGATAGTGAGGAAAACTGGAGAAGGAGTGAAGCTCACACAAAGAGAGGGCATGATGTCTTGGCGCATGAGGAGCGCGTTGTCACCTTGCTTCGTCAGCAGAACAGTCTGATCGCCGAGGGTTTCGCGTTTTTGAAGGCGCAGTTTGTCGCAGTGCATCAGAGGTTGGACCAGTTTGAAGCCAGTTCTAGCCGCAGGGACGAAGACGAAGAAGAGTCTGAAGAGGCTGAGGAGTCGGAGAGTGAAGAGTTCTAGTTTGTGTTGTGGTAGTTCCGTTCGCCTTTTTTCTTTGTTGTTTTCTCCTTAGCCGTTGTTAGCTTGGTGTTAGGTTGTTGTTTGCCTTGCGTGCTTGTTTGTTTTGCTTGTTGTTTTGTTGTTTAGTTAGCTTAGTAAGTTGGTGTTTGGAGCTAGTTGTTTGGTTCTTGCTTGTTGTCTAGAAGTTGGTGGTTGTGTTGAGGCTAGAGTTTTGATGCTCGATCTATCCGTTCGTTTAACTCTCGATCAATCCTTGAATTCGAAATGCCTTCTTCATTTCTTTGGAATCCTTGTTGAATCTTTTGGAGTTTTTGACCAAAAGAGTTATTCTTGAACTTCTTGTCACAACGTTGTTTCCTTCCACCGTTTGTTTCTAATTCGTCGTACCCAAGCTTCGGGGACGAAGCTTCTTTGAAGGGGGAGAGGATGTGACACCCCAAAAATCCACATTTCAACCCATGAATTAATTGAGTAATTAATTCTATTTCTTTTGAGGAATTGATTCCTAAAATCCTGATTTTTAATACTCAAGGACTAGTATTTGACTAGTCAACCTTTAAGTTGTGTTGTACCTTGTGCTTTGAGGAGAGTTCCTTGTTCCTTACACTTTCTAAAGCTTAGTAAGGGTATTCTTGTTTTTCCACCAAGAGTTAGTATTGTAACCTAACCTAGAAGACTTCTTCATTTCATTCCTTACAATTCTAAGAAAATTAGCTCTACCTTCTCTCTAGAAAAGAAGTGTAGCTTATTCTCCAAGCCAAGTTGAGACCCTTGTCAAGATTCCAAGTTTTGCTTTCAAGATTCAACCTTCCACCTATTTGGGCATCTAGGAGGGTAAGATCTAAGTTTATCTAGTCTTTTTGGTTCCATCTTAGTTGTCTTTTTCTTAAGGTAGGATCTTTATGATCTTTTGGTTTGATCTTGAGTGGGTTTGAGAAGTAAGCCTTGTGGGGAGCTTGTGGTGGTGTTAAGTGAAATCTTTTGGTCTACAAGAGGTAACCCATGCTCTACAAAACCTATTTGCTTACCTATATGTGATTTCTTGGATTCTACTTGTGCTTTGCTATGGAATGTGAGGGTTTATGCATTTATCTTGTGATATTGCATATCTAGAGCTTGTGTTTAGGGTTCATTTGTGTCATTGCTTGGCATCTTCCATGGTTCAAGTCATTTTGTTGTATTGGGTGAGATTTGGCATGTTTTGGACTTGAATTTGTGTTTGGAGAAGAAAATCCCCGAAGGAATTTATTGTGGAACAGGAATGTTCCCGCGGGCGGAACGGCAGGCGGGGCACCACCCGCCGCCTACCCGCGGGTACAGGCCTCGTGGGATGATGTTCCCGGGCGGAACCACGAGTGGGGCACTACCCGTGGGTCCACCCGCGGGTACACGGTGGTGTTTGGTCCGGGATTTGTTCCCCGTGATTCGTTGTCTCGGTATTTGATCCTTTGACTTTCCGTTGTTCTTTTGTGGAACTATTTGAGCGTCTTCTTGATGTTTCGTAGGTTTAGAACTATATTGTAGGTATCCATGTAGGACTTTGGTGTCTTGAATCGTGCTAAGTGTTCAACATTGTGTTTCATTGGACCAAGAGGTGTCTTGTGAGTTCCTCGGAACTATCTGAGTTTCTCGGTTGTTAAGCATGCTAGATTATTGTCTTAATGCTAGCGTGTGTGTTGTTCGTATCTTCCGTGTGGTTGATGTTAACTTGTGTTATACATCGTTGTTGTCGTTGGGTGGTGACCCATTCCTTGATTGACTATGGTTTCATACCTTCGCTGTAATCCGTTGCTTGACTCGTGTGAGTGGTGCGTGTGTGGCTTTACCTGGATTGCACGATTAGTGGTATGGGACGCTAGTAACCAAAGTATTGCAGCGGACCTCGTGGTAGCCGTGACGTGATTATGGAGATGTGTTCCTTCGAGAAAGGTTCACGTGATTGGGGGATAACATGTGTTATCCGGGCATGTGTTTCGCCATGTACGGTACCTTGTGTACTATGAATTGGTGGTCTTGTAGGCGGATTGTTGGTGGGGGACGACGGTCCCAGGAGGGAAAAGGTTGGACTAAGAAGTACAGGGGTCCTGGAGGTAATGGTTAGCATGAAGGTACAAGGTTGGGGTAGCCATAAGGTTGGAACAGGACATAAGGAAGGCATATCAACTCGTGATGGGTGATGTCACGAGAGCTTGTGTAGCCGTTGTGGTGAGTTCTCTTTCTTGTGACGTGTGTAGTCACAAGGGCATGTGTTGCCATGAGTGAGTCTTATTCCTTTTGTGTTGTGGGTAATCTTTGTGTTTTGGGATGTGTTCCCGGTGTTATCTTTGAGAGTGATGAGTCTTGTGTTGTTTATTGATCTTGGCTTTTGACTTATATACTTATGTATTCCGTTTCGAAAATGGTTTTATGACTTATATCTACCTATAATACTTAACGGTATTGGTGGGTTACCAGCATTATCACTGACCGGGCGTCGTCCCAATGTTTATCTTTGTATCTTTCAGGTGATGTTTAGACGAGCGCGATGTCTAGAGCTTGGTAGCTTAGCACCTTTATCCTTGTTTTTGTGGTCTGTGCGCCAATATAGTTAAACTAATGTTTTGGGATAGATGTTTACACTTGCAGATTGTTCGCCTTAGCGTTTACCGAGTTCGGTAGACGTGACATAACACCCCATGAATTGGATTTTCTTTTATCCAGTTTCTATTTTATCTTCCGCTGTGCTAATTTATTGTTTAATCTGCATGTGTTAGGGCTTTCTTTTGGGCCTTATTTAGGGGGTGTTACACTAGTCCATGAATATTTAAAATTGGAATTTTAAGAATTAATTCCTCAAATGAAATATGATTAATTACTCAATTAATCCATGAATTGAATGTGGATATAAGGGTCTGGGGTGTTATGCCACATCTGAGCTGGAGAACTCAGATGCACATGCTATATTAACTAATTATCCTCAAACACGTCATTACATCATCAAGGCACGCAGGCCGAAAAAAAAGACTAACTATCTAAGCCGAGGTCCTCTAGTGCGCTCCGGTGGCTAATCATCTGTGCCTGAAAACCAAATATATCTGTTCAGCGAATAATGCTGGTAACCCACTCCAACGCATTAAAATACAATATATATATATATATATATATATATATATATATATATATATATATATAGGGAAAATGACACTTTTTCCCCTGTGTTATATGCTTATAGCACTTTTTCCCCCTGAGTTATTCATGCATTCACATTTGCCCCTCAATTATTATAGAAGTGGCAATTTTTTCCCCTGATAATATTAAATGGACATTTCTACCCTTAAAACAAATATTTTATTTATTTCTCTTCTTCACCAAATTATTGCTTATACGTAGGGATAACCACGGTTCGGTTCGAACTGAACCAAACACTATAGCAATCAAATTAAAAAATTTCGGTTATGATTCATAACATAACCCAATATTTGGGTTTCCGTTTATTAAAATCGTAAACTGGAAAAAATTGGATCCTAAACCGTGAACCGGAGGTTCAAATCAGAACTACTAGCAATAGCTTAAATTAGAATTATAATATTTGCAAATAATGGTATGTTTTTTTCCGCATTTATATTGACTCTCACATATAAGTATATATAATCGCGATTTGAGTTTTATTTTGAACCGTCGGTTCACGATTTTGGATCCAATTTGAAAGGTTGGATCAAACTTTCTTTTAAAATTTTATTTTTTATTTTTAAAATATTCTAAATTTAACACTTAATGTATTTTATTTTTTCAAATCGTGGTTATAATTTGTTGGAGAAGAAAAATAAATGAAATATTTATTTTAAGGGTAAATATGTCCATTTAATATATCAGGGAGAAAAACTGCCACTTAAATAATTTAAGGGAGAAAGATATATACTTAGGAGACTCTAGCTTTAAAACCAGGAATAGACTCGACAGATGGGGATAAGCACATTCTAACAGTTATAATCAAACATATAAAGATATCATTAAGAATCTTAAGGTCACAAGTTAATTTCACCTCATTCATGTCATCTTTCAATCAATCATCTTTATCATATAAGCACACTTTGGTGGCACCACAGGACAAATCGAATGCCCATACATGAGGGTTAGCGCATATAGCGCTAACACAGCCCGCAGCACCCTGCCTCATACTGCAGCATGAAGGGGTTGACCGTAGCCTATCGATGAACCGTAGCTCATTAGATCGTAGACGAGCTCAGCAGCGGACCACAGCCTTACACACCGTTGACGAGCTCAATTAGTGGACCGTGGCCCTCTTTGTGGACTGCGGCCCTACACACCGTTGACGAGCTCAATCAGTGGACCGCAGCCCCTGTAAGACCGCTGACGAGCTCAGCGGCGGACTACAGCCCTACACACCGTTGACGAGCTCAAACGGTGGATCATGGCTCTCTTTGTGGACTGTAGCCCTACACACCGTTGACGAGCTCAATCGGTGGACTGTAGCCCATGTAAAACCAATTTGACCGTAGCCAATATTGGGGAGTCATACACATATAACACGTAGCAAGCACATGCGATTCATATTAACACATCGGGAGAGGGGAGAAAACATATAATGAAACCTATGCGTGGTCATCCACATACTAGGAATGGTCCTAGGTGGTTCATACATCCTTCACCTAGGTTGCGGGGTACCAATTCAACTAGCATACAATACACAAGACTCTTTTATCCTACGAACGATACCAAAACATCAAACTAGACTTAGACACGATAAACGGAGTCCGTTGGGACACCACGAGGGCCAGGGAAACATCAAACGGGGAAGCCAACAACCCAAAGTGGGGAAAAATCCAGCTGGTGGCCGGCAGGTGTAGGACCACCCACCGGCTGCCCGCTGGCAAAAAGTCTCCGGGCAGCGGGTGCCCGGCGGGCAGTCGTCTGCCCGCTGCCGGCGACGCCAATTTGGGCAACGGGTAGGTGGCGGGCCCCCTACCCCCACCTACCCCCACTCCCCACTGACTCTTTTTCAATATATTAATCCCGGAATCTTTCGTGGAACCCGAAACCATGTTTAATCACTTTTAAACGTAAACGGCGATACCACGTAGTCAATAATGGATCAGAACCAAGAATTATATTAAACATATCCTAACGTGACTTCTAATCTAAACATAAATAACACCCGAACATGCGAAATCCCACCCAAATATACCAAGAACATCACGATACGAAATTCCCAGTTCAATCTAGGGCTCTAATCATATTCATATCATCAAAATCATTGTTTATCTTTAAAATCAAGAACATCAAGATTTATCAAGAACATCACATAAATATCAAGATCCTCTTATAATCATCAAGATTATCAAGATCAACACATAAGATCGTCTCATCAATCATCAAGATCATATCATCATCATCATAAAAGATTTATCTAGACACAAGCATAGAGAAGAAGCTAAGAAGTAGATTATAGCGAAGAAAATAGGTTTTGTTGAGACATGGGTTACCTCTTAGCCTTAATTAAATTCCTTGGCTATTAAGGGTCTTTCTCTAAGATCTCCTCTTCTTGATTTCTCCTATGTTGGTGATAAGAGAATTCTTGGAAATTCTTGTGCGGTGATATCTATTGTGGTGTGTATTTTAAGTGGCTTCTTATGTCCCTATTTATATATCTAAGAGTCCTAATTAGGGTCTGAAGGGTATGAATTTGCTAATTATATTTATTATTAGATTAAGGGATTGGTTTTGGGGATAAGAGTCCATGGTCTATGGTGGACCCTTACTAGTTAATTAATGGAATTTAATTCTCTTTTCAGGGTAAGTAATTAAATAATTTGTTCGGGTTAGAAGCCGTAACACGGGGTGTTACACCTGTGTCTAAGCTTCGGAGACGAAGCTTCTTGTAAGAGGGGAGGGTGTAACACCCAGTGTTACAGCCTCCAAATTCGGACTAAATATGGAATTAATTTCGTTAATATATACTCCCTCCGTCCCGAATTAGATGTCTCATTTACTTTTTGCACGCTTTTTAATGAATTAAAGTAAATGTTATGCACTTTCGAATTATGCCCCTCACTTTTTCATTTTTGAAAATAAAAACAATAAAGAAAGCAAAAGCTAGAAGGGTAATTTGAAAAAAGTAGAATGATGGTGATGTTCAATTTTGGAAAGTGGACAACATTTTGGGACAAACTAAAAAGGAAAGTAAGACACATAAAATGGGATAGAGAGAGTAATTAAAAAGGATTTAATTGTGCTAGAATTCTCCTTAATTAATTAGTGTGGTCCGCAATGGATCATGGACCCTTATCTTAATCAAGTCTTTAATCCTGTTAGGAATAGGGAAAGTGGGCCTCTACTATTCAGATTCTAGTTAGGACTCCTGTATCTATATATAGGGGATTAGAAAGCATTTAGAAACCTTGCAACGATTAATCCTACCATGCGAGACATTCCCCGAGGAAACTTAGCAAAAGAATTCCCCACCACCAAGCCTAGGGAGATCAATTGAAGGAGAATCTTAGAGAAGAACCTTAGTAGCCAAGGAAATTGGTTAAGGCTAAGAGGTAACTAGACCTGGCAATTATCGACACGACCCGTTAACACGATACGAAACTGGACACAAAAATAACAGGTTAGTGTTTAGCCTTAACGGGGTGTTACACCCTCCCCCCTTACAAGAAGCTTCGTCCTCGAAGCTTAGACTTAACGGGTTGGAGGACATGGTTGCGTCGTGCACGTATTTCTTTAGTTGCGACACGTGGAACACGTTGTGTACTCGGTCCAGTTTGGCCGGCAATGCGAGGCGGTAAGCCAGGTTCCCGACTCTTTCTAAGATTTCGTAGGGGCCAATAAATCTGGGCTTAGTTTTCCTTTCTTGTAACACCCCCAACTTAAAAACCAAAATAAAAGACTTTTCTTACTAAACGACTAAATACAAATGCGGAAGCAAAAATCAAAATCTAAACCATTGGGGTGCTATGCCACGCTTGGGCAGCCAACTAAGCCCAAACGCACAGGCTAAAAAGGTTTCTATCTACAAATCCATAATACAACATTCCACTTTCCAAATCACAAATTAACTACAACAACAATTCAAGTTCTAAGACTAAACCAGTTATACCAAACTCAAATCCAAGACTACGAGCTCTACGCCGCACTCTCAAACTAGCAACAACTTCAAATCTTGCAAACATTAAGGTTTGGAAAACACAAATAAAAGAATTAGCATAAAATGCTAAGTAAGCTCTACTCCGCCCTGTAAAATACTTACATTTATACTTTTCAAATTGGACATACTTTGTAAATGAGTTTTAAAATTATTTCAATCATATAGTTTGACTCAATAACAAAGGTAAGTAGTAAATCATTTTCCAAGATAACTCTTAGGCACCAAGGCCATAACACACTCCACTCAAAATAGCATTAGGTTTCATATTAGTAATAGGGTCGCCAAAATAGTAACATTTACTCTTTCCAAAACAATACAACTACCATATAAATCATTCGTTCATTTCCCAAAATAATAAGTATGGAGGATTTAGAAATATCACTTTTCAATATGAGTATCATTTCGAAGCATAGCTTTCCACATAATCATTTTGGAAGTATAGATAGGTATACAAGTATATATGGAAGAATTCACAATAGCAAAATAATAATCTCTTCAAGTCATCATATCAAGATATAGATTTCTCTCAAGTCATTCTCAGAACATATATGTCAATAATAATAGATAGGGAGGAATTCAAATCATATTTCTCAAATCACTTTTCCAAGTATCACATATCCATATACTCTCATATATATATATATATATATATATATATATATATATATAAGGTGAAAGGGACGAAGGGTATTAGATCAACTAAGCCCTAGTGACACGGTAATCCACTCTATCGGCCACTCCACAAGTTTGTCCCTTTCGTGGGATAAAGGACTAAAACCTTAAGTGTGCACACCCTCTAATGGGCTTCCCCACCCAAAAGAGTAGTAACTAGTCCAAGTAGCCCAGGATGTTTTCTACCAGGCTACTCCACATATAATAGGTACCCAGGATGTTTTCTACTAGATACAATCTCATCAAAATAGGGCCAGAACCCACATAGGACCGAAGTCCACCATTCCACAACCATCCATCATATCCACATATCCTCCAAAAATAGATACATCTTTATATATCCTCCAAAAACAAGAATAGTTATCAAAATAGATACAGTATCCTCCAAAAGTAATAATTGTTTTCCAAGAAGGTTTTCATGAATATTATCATTTGCCGGTAGGCTATCCAAATTATAGTTTTCAAATAATACAACGCATTATAACCCATCAATATCCATACTTTCCATAATAGTTTTTATCCTCCAAAAAGAATATAATAGTATGCAAAATAATATATTTTCTCTAATTTACACATTTCCTCCAAAAACAATGTCCTTCAAAAGTAAATATAATGTCATATCCTCCAATATAAACATAGTTTCACTCATTTCAATATACTTAGGTTTTCAACCACAATTTCTCAAAGTACAAATATATATGTGTATCACAAAATTATAAGTTTTCTAATACTCAAATCAATCCCAATTATAATGGGGTTTCAACACAAAACATTTAGGCACACCATAGATTATACACCTTTCAAAAATATAGTTTCAACCCATATAAATCACAAGTCAACACCAAAATAACCATATTTTGCTATTTATCACATTTTGAAACTAGAACACATTCTAAAAATAATTTAAATACACAAATCATATACGTAAAACATTTAGTAGGGCAAAGTAATTTAAACAGACATAGAAACTTACCTCAAGCTAAGCTCTCAAAGCCAGCACCCAATCTAGGCTCAACTTATAAGTTAGTCACTTCAACAAGAACCTGTGGGTCAACAATCTAATATAATCACTAATCACTAAAAATAATAATATTATTATTATTATTAGTAACCATCACTAATCAACATCCTCATCACCATCGAATAATTCCTTTACCATTTACTGCCATCATCAACAATAATCATTTAACTCACTGCCATCATCAACAATAATCATTTAACCATGATTAATGATCATTAATTCATAAGCATCCTCATCATCCTTAAACACCATGATTATCACTAACCATCTTGCTAATCACCATTAATCCAACATCATCATGCTCATCATTATTCAATAATTATCATCATTAATCATTAATTATATCATTAGCATCGTCATCACCAATTATTGCATCATCACCATTTAATCATACCCATTAATGATTAATACCAAAATAATTAATAATTTCTACCTCATTAATCCACCATAAATCTTTAATCTTCATCTCATCACTTCACAATCTCTAAAGATTAAGCAATTCAAATTTCCAGATTTACCACCAGATCTCATCTTCAATATTAGCCATCCATAATCATCTTTAATCAGTTTTAACCCATCATACGTAAATCATAACATCCCCATCATCAATGATTTAATCTTCATTAATATATTGTCAGTACCCATAATCACTCAACTAATCATTACTACCATCCTTAATCATCATTAACAATATTATGATTATTTAAACAACATCAACCATTATCAATAATCTCTACCATCCTTAATCTTAACCAACCAACCATTACACTAATCACCATCTTTAACCCTAATCATTAACAACAACTAAACATTACTAACAGAACATACCTCACCTCAGCTTCGTCCACAACTTTGCCGGAAAAGGGAAGCTTCGACACCACCCCTCCTAACCACACCACACTACCGGCAACCACAGCTCAAGTCACAACACCGCGAACCTCCACCGCCCATAGCCGCTGCTCACCGAAGGAGGTCCAGCCGCCGCAACTGCTTTTGGTCCAACCACCGCGGGAGGAAACTTCGTCGCTAGAAGCTTGCCGGTCACGATCTAGTCGTCGCCGTCGACTAGAGATGAAAGGAGAAAGGTGTCGTCGTTGCTCTGCTTGCCGGTAAGAAATAGAGGAACCACTAGACTACTCTGTTCTGGCTGCTTCGTCGCGAAGAGAAAGGGAGACGGAGGACAGAGGAGGAGAAGGAGGTTCAAAGTACATGTCTTAGCTCACAACAAGGAAGATGGCTGTTGACGAAGAGAAATAAAAACAAAAATGGCGATGGGGAGTGAGTTGGTGTTGGCGGCTGATCTCTATCAGCAAAGAGGTTGAGATAACCTTGAATTAAAATGTTAGGGTTTTTGGTCTCAAAATTCATATCATATAATTTGGACTAAGGTTTGGATTATACAATTGGACTAGGATTATTTTGGGCTTAAACAAAACTATTTGGACTCAACATTTTAGACTTGTAAAATGATATTGACAGGCTCGACTCAGATAGATTTTGAATAGCAAAATTGTGGGCTATAAAATAAATTATTTAAGTTTAGGCACAAAAACAATTTGTTTTGAAAGTATTAGAGCTAAAATATTTAGGATTAAAAGATAGATTTTATTTTCAAGAATATTTTATTAAAATAAAGTGTTTTAAAATATCGGGGTGTCACAATTCTTCCCAAACCTCATTACCTCTCGCGTGGGTGAGATCTTCAACCACAGCTTCTCTCCTACTTGGAATTCGGTCGGCTTTCTCCCTAAGTCGGCGTAGGACTTTTGGCGGTCTTGCGCGGTGTAACACCCGTGTTACGACCTTCAAATCTGAATTAATTATTAAATTAATTCTGATAATTAAAATAATTAAGAGGAATTTAATCCAATTATAATTCCCTTAATTAACCCAGGCGGTCCACAATGAATCGTGAACCTTTACCTGAACCAGGAACATTAAGCCCATAGGGAATAAGGAAAGCAGGCCTTATTATTCAGACCTAGAGTAGGTTTTCCTTAAACATATAAATAGGGGATTAGGAAGCAGATAGAACCTTCCTCTCTTCTCCCTCACTCGAAAACACTCTAAGGTAATCCCGCCAAGGAAGTCCCCACTAACAAGCCTAGGAAGATCAATTGGGAGAAGAATCTTAGAGAAGAGCCTTAGTAACCAGGGATATTGATTAGGGCTAAGAGGTAACCCCTGTCAAAACCTATTTTCCTTGCTATATCTTATTTATTAGCTCCTTTTATAACTGTATATGTGATTTTGTGATTGAGTCTTGATAGAACCTTTGCCAAGGATTTATATTGTGATTATTTGATAATCTTGATAATCTTGATGTTGTGATTAATTATATGTGTAATCTTGTATTTTATTATGTCTAGAGCTTTTCCCTAGGGTTTATATCGTGGATCTCGTTGTTGTGATATTCTTGGTATATTTGGGTGGGTTTATGCATGATCGGGTGTTGAGGCTAGCCTAGGATTTGTTTTTTGGACTTTGCATATAGATTTCTTGATGTTCTTGAGGTTCTGGATGCCCCTGAACCATTATATGTATTAATGATGAGTCTTGGCATGTTTAGGAATCGTGTTAGGACGTATTTGGTATGATTCTTGATTTAATTCCGTTAATTGAATCCGTGGTGTTGTCGTTATGTGTTTGAATGTGTTTGGACATGGTTTTGGGTTCCACGAGAGATCCCGGGACCCAAAAGTTTCCTGAGTATCATTGGGGGTAGGTGGGGGCATGGGTACCCGCTGCCCAGCTCGCCTTGTCCAGCGGGCATCCGGCGGGCAGACCGGCCACCCGCTGGAATGGTGGCTGCCCGCCGGCGGGTGGTCCTCCACCCGCCACCTAGCCGCTGGAATTGTGTGGTGCGTCGTGATATTTTTTCCCCGTTTGATGTTTCCCCTTGTCCCGTTGTGTTCCGTTGTACCCCGTTTGTCGTGTATGAGTCTCGTTTGGTGTTTTGAGTATCGTTCTAGGAATTTATGTGTAATACGTGCCGTTGTTGTTGTGTCTTGATTGTTAATTGATTGATTATGTGTTGATTGATTGAATGGTGATGAGTATCGTGGTCATTGCGCAATGGCCGGTGTGATTGATGATGATGATGATGATGATGAGATTGTGATTGGTGGAAATGAATTGTTGGCGGTTGCACCACTTGTGCCCGGCCATTGCACTAAAGGTACAGGCCTAGCGGTTACTGTGCTAAAGGCACAAACCCAACTTCGACTAGCTTGCCATTGAGCATGGGTCAGGTTTTAAGTGTTGCGGTGTCATGTCAGGGCTATATGCGCTGAACCCTTGATATTGGCACTACAGGTGCGGATCATGCGAATGGCACTGCGGCGCTATCTTGATATGTTGGTGGATGAAAGGTGGTTTGTCGGTGGGGGCATGTAGTTGCCTGGAGGAATAAGGGAGGCGATATATGGGTGGCCTGGAGGTATAGGTTGGAACTAATATAAGGACGGAGGGGTGCTACAAGGTTGGAACTTGGTATAAGGTGGGAAGATCGTTTGTGTGCTTTGATGATTGCTTGTTAATTGATTGTCTTGAATGCCCTTGTTGTCTCTATTTGCTATTTATGAACTTGTTTGTCTATTATGTCTTGTATCGTATTCTTAGGATGCATGCTAGTCTTTATGATTGTCCTATATTGTCAAGTCTATTATCGTGTCTTGAGTCTTGATCTTGGATTTAAATTAGAGTCTCGTAAGTTATATATGTATTCCAGTTTTAAAATGATTTCTTTATATCTACCTATATTGTACTTAACGCGTCGGAGTGGGTTACCAGCATTATTCGCTAACGATTGTTACACCGAATGTGTTTCAGGAGCAGTTGAGTAGCTTCGGAGCGCGCTAGTCGGATTCGTGGATTTAGTTTAGATAGTTCTAGCTTTGATGAGGCTGGCATGCGTGCCTTGATTTGTATTTAGATATTAATTACGCTTTGTTAGTTAGTCTAGCCTATGCATCTGGGTTCTCTAGCTCAGATGTGGTATAACACCCCGTCTATCATGTTTAGTTTATGCTCTGTTTGGGAATTAATATTAGAATCGCCTTTATTCCATAAGCTTTAAAAGTTTAAAAATTTAGGGGTGTTACACGCGACCTTCATCTTCTCTTGTATGTACTTGACTTTCGCGATGGTGTCTTGTAGATATTGTGGTCCTAAAGCCACTGGGTTAACCATGTCTTCCCAACATAATGGGGTCCTGCACTTCTGACCGTACAAGGCCTCGTAGGGAGCCATACGTATACTCGCGTGATAGCTATTATTGTAGGAGAATTCGATCAAGTCCAAGTGTTCTTCCCATGATCCTTGGAATCGATCATGTAAGCCCTTAACATGTCTTCTAGGGTTTGGATAGTCCTTTCAGTTTGTCCGTCGGTCGTGGGGTGGAAGGCGTGCTTAGTTTTAATCTTGTCCCATAGCTATTTGTAGCGATTTCCAAACTGGGATATGAACCTGGAATCCCTATCTGAGACAATATCTCGTGGGACCCCGTGGTATTTGACCACCTGACTGATATAAGCCATGGCTAACTGCTTCATCATCCAAGTCTCCTTCATGGCAATGAATCGTGCAGTTTCAGTCAACCGGTCTACAATTTCCCATATTTTGTCCTTCCCCGTCTAGGTACAAGCAAACTTCCTACAAAGTCCATGGAAATGGAGTCCCATTACCTTGGGGTATTCCCATTCATGGGCTTTATTGACTCAATTTAACATGTTTGAGGGTTAATTGCATCTTTTTAAAGTTTAAGTGCCTAATTGACTTTTGGTGTAAAGTTTAGGGGCCTATTTGACCCTTTTCCCTTTTATAAAGACATAGTTGTATAAAATATAAACAAGGATTTTAACAACAAGAGTCAAACCTCTGACCTCAAATATAGCAATTAAAGTTTAACCAACTAAGCAACACAAACATTTATATATTAAAGTGCAACATCTTGTATATAACTGGGTTGTTTCTGTGTTGTCTGTGAAAACTGATAACATTATTTTTATTGCAGTTTTTAACAATTTTTTTATAATTAAATTGCAAAAGTTAATTAATTTTATATCTAATTTTATTTATTATTGCTATAAGTAGTTTTTATAAATATTGTTAATTTTTAGAGTTGTTTTTGTTATTAAGTTGATTTTGTTACCAGGACTATGTGGTCTAATGGTACCCGGGTTGGACTTTCATTTGGAAGGTTGTGAGTTCGAGCCTCAATGGAGGTGTTATTAGCTCTTTGTGTTTCAGTAGGTTGAGAAAGTATATGAATAGATACTACAATGTAATAGAGCTAGTAGCATTCAAAAAAGAAATAAAAGTTGATTTTGTTAATAAATTTGTCCTAATTTCCTAATCCAATTTAATTAGTTATTATTATTATTATTATTATTATTATTATTATTATTATTATTATTATTATGTTTAGCTATTAAAATAGGTTAGTCAATCGCTTCCCAAATAATAGATCGGATGACCGACGATAACGACAGAGAGAGATGCGCAAGTTTTTGCGGCCTCGGCTAAAGAAGCACCGAACGGCGTGGATCATGGACGAGGTTGGTCTCGTGGAGGGCGATTGAATAGACAAGCTTTGAACGAATGAAAGGCTCTCCAATGGCTGTCCCTGGTTCACGCTCTCTTCGGAATTTACGCCAAAGGAGTCCGGCGATGTCTGCGTGTAGGAATCGGAGGTGTGGTTGATGCTATACCAGTATAAAAGAGGGAGATTCTGAAGGAGGAAGGTATCAAATTGCACCGGGAAGGATTTCCGGTCAGCAGTGTAGTTCTTCCGGCCAGCGGCGTTAACATGGACGGAGGTGTTGTTTGAGCTTCTTGTCGGCGGCTACGGAAGCAATCCTGGGCTTGGTGTTAATTAACTTCAATCTGGTTCGCAGCTTACGTGCATGGTTTCTCCTCCTCTTTCTTCAATTATGCCTGTTGTTTAATTCACCTGTTCAATTCATAACTTTCTTCAATGATGTTTTCTTGTTTCAATTACAGTTGGCCGCATAATACTTTGTAATGCAATTTATTGGTTCATGAATGTTCTTCAACTCATTATTTGCAAATCATTTTGTTAATTTCTAATTTTCCAATTTTCCAATTCGTGAGCTGTGGGTTGTGTGTCTCTTGTGTC